ATCAGTTCATGATCAGGGGTAGACCAGTTCATGATCATGGGTAGTCCAGTTCGTGATCAGGGATAGACCACTTCATGATCTTAGAATCATGATCAGGAGTTGACCAGTTAATGGTCATAGTTAGATATTGTTCGGATTTTTAGAAGCATTTTAATGAATGTCCGAATTCTGCAAAATTTCTCATTGCGAAGAAAAAAATGAATTAAATTATTTTAATTAAAAGTTTAAACGTGAACGAATTTAATGCATCATGGTTATTTCTTAGAACTCTCTCTATTTTACCGCTCTTTCCATTAGTTAGCCTGATACCAGCCATAACGTGACTTTTACTGCGTTTTATTTGTTCGGTCTCGGAGCTTCTCTTGGAAATTTAAAAAATAATATTTCTATTTAGAATTATGCCGGGATGAAGGCAGACCCTGAATACATGCGAACTATTAGTGCTGGAGGAATGGAGATAGATTCTCAGACCGTGCCCCACCATCCACAGTGGGGCTCTGCCCCCCCTGGAGCTCGACCTGTCCCCCATCCTCCAGGTCTTCAACCTCCAGGGAGTGTACCAAGTACTGCTCCCTCCACCCCCTCCATTCCTCCAGCACAAAGTGCCCCTGAGCGAAGCCCCTCGGTTCCCACCCCTACACCGGGCACTTCCATCCCATACAGCGCCCCTGCCACCCTCAGCTACACCAGAGAGGAGGGGAGGGGGGAGCAGTGGACACCCACCCCCTCGCCTGCTCGCATTCCTGAACCTTCAGGTATGGATTTGTCGGATAAGAGTTGATAAAAATACAATTTACGGATCGGAGAGTAATCTTTAAAAAGCGAAGAGAAATGTTATTCTTAAAATGTTGATTTTATGAAGTTTTTTTTCAGCGGGACCGATATCTAGTATGATGATGCCAGAGTTCTGGTGTTCTATTGGATACTATGAGTTAGATAGCCAGGTAGGATATCCAGTATTTCTGTGTTCTACCATTATATTAGATACCATGAGTTAGATAGCCAGGTAGGATATCCAGTATTTCAGTGTTCTATCATTATATTTGATACTATGAGTTAAATAGACAGGTAGGATATCCAATATTATAGTGTTCTAACATTATATTGGATTTTATGAGTTAGATAGTCAGATAGGATATCCAGTATTCTAGTGTTCTATCAATATATTGGATACTAAGTTAGATAGTCAGGTAGGATATCTAGTATTTTAGTGTTCTATCAATATATTGGATATTATGAGTTAGATTGCTAGGTAGGATATCCAGTATTCTAGTGTTCTTAACATTATAATAGAACTAATTTAGATAGCCAGAGCTGAAACTTTAGAATAAGATATCCGTAATCCTGATTACTTAATCTGAGTATCCAATGGAAACAATTTTGATTTTCTTCTTAAACCATTCTTTCTTGGATATAGTAGAGAAAAATCAAAATTAATATTAATCTTAAATTTTATACACTTTTCAGGATACAAGTACAAGATTAGAACTGAAAACTGAATGAGATATCCTTTATCACGATCGCTTAACCTGATTAAGCAATGTACGCGCTTTTGATTTTCTTCTTAATGCTCTTTTTGGATATTTCTACTGTATAAAAGTTACTTTTGATAACAATTACAGATACAATGCTATATCGATTGGACTAATATCCGATTGAATTATGAAGTCAGCTGTTCACAAGCCGGCTTTTAAAGCATTTAAATAAAAAAAATTTAATCATGTTAATCTTAACATCACACGCTGATTGGTTAATTTTTTAACTTCTTTCTTGGATATCGATTGCGTTTTAAAATAATCTTGGGTTTAGTAATCTCGATATCCACCATTCTAAAGTTTTCAGCTTAGGTAGGATTCGAGTATTCTAGTGTTCTGTCGATATATTGTATACTAAGATTTAGATAGCCAGAGCTGAAAACTTTAGAATGGTGGATATCAGGATTAAGGCTTAAACCACTCTTTTTCTTAATATCCAGTTTAAATATTGCTTGTTCTCCACATGAATTTAAACTCCAGAGAAGCAACGTTATCTTCCAATTGGATATTTCATTCTAAAGTTTTCAGCTCAGGTAGGATATCCAGTAGGCTATTGTAATAACATTATATTGGATACTAAGTTAGATAGCCAGTTAGGATATCAAATATTCTAGTGTTCTATCAATATACTGGATACAAAGTTAGATAGCCAGGTAGGATATTCACTATTCAGTATTGTAGTGTTCATGAGTATACTGGATACTAAGTAACGTAAGAAAGCTAGGTAGGATATCATTATCCAGTATTCGAGTGTTCTAACAATTTATTGGACACTGATATGAAGGATGATATGCCAGTAACCCACATACCTTTGTTTTTAAAATTTGTACTGAATTTAGTGGGGGGNGGAGTAAACAAACTCGTTGCTGCCATGGGAGAGTTTTTTCGTCTTCATATAATATCAATAATATCATATATGGCGTTCCACACCATTTCTGTGGATTTTTTATATTTTACAATTTATATCATGTTGTTGTGTATTGAAATAAACTTGTTAACCCCCCCACTCCTAACCTACAAAATGTCACAAATATGTCACCGAGCCTTCTGTTCTTTTTATTTCTCAAAGAGAGGAAGGTTAAGAATTTAAATTGAAATTGTTCCCTGAAACTTTCAAATGAAACTTTCTCTATGGCTTTCTTTTAGAACCTTTTTTCTTTTTATCTGTTATTTAATGTCAAGGATACTTGATAAGACTGGTTCATAAAATACAAAAATGTATTTGGTGGTTAATTGAATTGTATAATTACTTGATCTATTTACAAATGTGTCTTCTAGGTTCACACAAATATCTAGTTTTTACCTAAATAAAGATATAGAACACTAATAAACAAATAAATACAGAATAAAAATAAGATATTTGTTGACGACATCTTATATGAATTTTATAGCTGGGTTCCTAGATTTATATCTCATATTTATCACACTATATTTATTCGGAGCATCTTTATGTCGACATTTTGACATATTTACATATTTTATTTAATGATAATTTTTCTGCAAAATTATGAGTATTCTCTCGGTTAACCAGAGCTGACACTGGATGGTTTCTATTTGATACGAGGATGTCAATTATTTCTACGGAACAAAGATATTTCTTCAAATTGTATATATGTTAGTATTGTGCGCTATCCCGGATGGATTTCAGGTCATGTGTTGATGCGCTGCACCCTGAGGGCGGTCTCCCTTCAGATATTGTTATTATTTCTTATTGTTTACAGATACTGTACTCCTGATCTGGGTTTCCCCTTACTAGTTGTGTATGGTCTCACACCGTTATGTGTATTATTTCAGGATATAACATTCAAACAGCTATGCTAACTATATCCTTTTGCTATTCTTAATAGAAGAAAATATTATTTGTAACAATATTGTACATTTACATTCATTTACATATACATGTTTTTTTATTTTCTGACAATTTTGTAAAATTAAAAGATATTTAGCAATAAACGATCTATTTAGAAATATATATAATTACGAGATATGATTAATTCATTGTAGTAGAGACGTCGTCTTTGAATGCATGTTTTTACATGTTTTAATACGAAAAACGTAAATTTCTTTCTAATTCAAATATCAAAAGTTTTCATATTTTAGCACATAATAACGAACACATAATGACATCAAAATATGATAAATTTAAATGTTATTGGGCTGATGTTACTGAAAAAAACATCAATTAGTGTCTACGGAGAGGGACCGCCCCTTTCTGCTCAGATTCTGAACGAAAAATCGGCTTTTTCTCAGGCCACAGTTGTCTTTGAAAAGTAAGACTGTTACCAATCAAAAGCGAATAGGCTGTTTAGTTTACCCTGAAAATACCCAAATAAGTGAACGGTCCCTTTAATAATCTCTTATCAGCTGGGAGTTTTGTTCTCAGAGCAAAACAAAAATTTTGTTCGCATTTTTGGGTTCTGAACCCCTTGGATCCGGGTCCAGGAGCAAAAATGTTCCACGTACTGGTTTTTCAACTGCTGTTTAAATGATATTTTGATGTTTTTTCCATAATTTTATGTTAAGGTTGCCACTAGGAAGGGATTCCCTCATGTAATCTACGCCAGAATCTGGAGATGGCCTGATCTTCATAAAAACGAACTCAAAGTAGGAAAATTTATAATGTTTTTTTTTCTTAAGTTTATCGAAAAAGTGCTTTGGAATACTTTTAAGCTAAGCGAAACCATTTAAAGAAGTAAATATATAGATTTTACAACAACAACAAAAATATTTTAAATAATAGAGTCGTGGGTCGATAGTCAAACGGCGGTTAATCATCAACTTTTGATAATAGTAAAAAATGTATTTTTTACATCATATAACATGATACACTTTTTAATCTTGACATAATATTTTTTGTATTACTATAACAAAACTTATATTTGTTAGAATGTGAAGTACTGCCAATTCGCTTTTGATTTAAAGGTAAGATAGTTACAAATAATACCAAACTTATATATTTATCATATTTTACAGACTTTTTTGTTGCTTTGTTAAAATCATTAAATGAAACTTTGCTTTAGTAAACACATAGATTCTCAATCTCATCCGCTGAAATGCTAAAGCGCAAACTGAATTATTTTTTATTTTTTTATTTATTACTGATAGTCGGTTGATTTAGGCGGATTCTGTTTGTGTGAACCCGTATCATTATGAAAGAGTTGTCAGTCCTGGTATTGATCTTTCGGGTCTCTCCATACAGGTAGTCCAGTTCATGATCAGGGTAGTCCAGTTCATGATCATGGTAGTACAGTTCATGATCAGGGTAGTCCAGTTCATGATCAGGGTAGTCCAGTTCAAGATCAGGGTAGTCCAGTTCATGATCAGGGTAGTCCAGTTTATGATCATGGACGGTAGTCCAGTTCATGATCATGGTAGTACAGTTCATGATCATGGTAGTACAGTTCATGATCAGGGTAGTCCAGTTCATGATCAGGGTATTACAGTTCATGATCAGGGTAGTCCAGTTCATGATCATGGATTGTCAGCCAGGAGGGAAATGTTCGCAGTGGTAGCTAGAGACCAAAACCGGTTGAAATCGGCTTTCGACAAGGCATCAGCCATGGAGGCTAGGGTACCGGAGCAGCGAGTAATTTTGCAGATTTCGACAGAACAGCAAAGACCAGTAGCCACAGTAGAAATAGCTCCCACCAGAGTGGTAGAGAGGGGACAAGAGGTGCTGTAACCCTTGCGCCAAATAAAGATGGAATCGGCGTTATCAACCCAGATTCGGATATAGTTATTCTTGCACCAGGAGTAACCGCCAGCTAGGACAGCAAGAGGTCCAACAAGTTCTAAGGCAGACATTGACCTGCTGAGGGAGCGACCACTGGGAGCAGGGCGGCCAAGGTTAATAGCCCTTGACCAAGGTAGGTAGGTCCACCAACCAGGGGTTACGGCACCGGCCCCCAAACCAACAGAGGACATGGAGCCGCCAGCAGAGTCGGTGTAGACGTCAACAGCCCAGCGGGGCAGCTTGTAGAAAGGGTTTGGAAGAAGGCCACGACCAGAGCATAGTCTGATCATAGAGAACCAGAAATGTGCTTGGCGTTTGAATCCTCTAGAGAAAATGACAGGGAAAGTCCTGAAGTTTAGATTTGTTGTTAGCCTGGAGCAGGTGGTGCATGTTGAACTTTCCATTAGGGATTAATGGTCTAATGTGGATAAGTTTGCCGACTAGCGACCAGACTCTTTCCTGGGGTAGCGAGTCGACTGTCAAAAATTCCTTAAGATCATGCAGTAAGCGAGACAGTTTCTCATGATTCAGTGCCCAAGTCCAAGAATTTGTATCATAAAAAATTCCAAGCACAAGCCCGGAACAGTTGGGACCAAAGGATTTCTCCGGATCCACTCTGGGTGCTAACTTTATGCCGAGTTTCCCAGCGACTTGATAGAAAACAGAGTCAAACCGGGCTAGTTGACCGGAACCGGCGGGGGCTGCAGCACAGCAGTCGTCCAGATGTTGACAGATCCTATTGGTAGGGAAATTAGACTTGTGTGCGACAATGTGAACGACAACTTTTGCTAATCTATCAAAAATTCCTGCGCTGCTGGCACCGCCAAAGATAAGGCATAGTTCCTTGAAACCCATGCCCAGCCAAGTAAACCACTGTAAGTTGGTATCCTCAAGGGATACAGCTATATGTTTATAAGCATCTGACCAGTCGATCTTGCACATTTCAGCATTTCTGCCAGCCAGGTGTAGAGCTTTAAGCCATTTATTTGTTGAAGACATAACGGTTGGAAAGTCCATAGGATTTATTCCTTCGTTCACAGCTTGTCCCAAAGGGGCACTAAGGTTGAGGATGATCCCAACAAACAAAAACCCGTGAAGAACACAAGATTATTTGGTTTATTTCACACGAGTGACCCGTCAATATCCCATGATAATTTACGTGTTGTCGAGGTGATTGTCGACGATTAGATCACGGGTCTAGGACCGAGTTTTTACACGGTGAAAACCTGAGTTTATTTCACGAGATGAACACGGGATTTTTACATGGGAAAATTATTTTTCTTAAACCCTTATGTATCCAGTCAGCAATGGCGTCCGTAACGTGTGGGCCGAATTCGAAAGCACTAGGTGTGTTCGTAGAAGTTGAAGCCAGTCTGGAGGCACCGGAGCATCCAATATTAGCTCCGGTGTGTAGGTCTTTGCAGATGGTTTCGAGCAAGATCACGTCGCGAAAATTGGATTCCAGCGCCAAGGATTTTAAAATATGATGATTAACCATGGATTTTGCCGGCTGTGAGTAGTTCTTAGGAAATTGATTCCAAAATTCACTATCAGGGTTTGATTTATAAGAGTGCAGCTGAGGGATGTCATATTTAGGTTTGAAAACTTTTGGTGGTGGTAGGTCCGGGATGGGTGTGGCTAGGATCCTATTTGTGAGCTGTTTGAGTGATACCAGTCGTTGTGACACCACCCAGCTAATATCTAGTAGAAATAACCGTTATTGTATTTAAATGAACTCTTATGATTCATAGTATTCGATAATAATAAACGCGATCGCCGTTATTAAGAGTTATTATTGTAGAGATTAACTTTCATAGGTTAGTTGTAATGCGCTATAGAGATGAAATGCCGCGCGGACTTTTAATTGGATGTCGTCCTACTATACGATAAACCAAAGAAATAAAACTAATACTTAAAGTTAATTTCCAAATAATAACTGATAATTTGACCAATGTCCTCTGTAGACTGCATTTTAATGCAATATATGAATCCTCAGTAACGGATGGATAATTAACTTATTGATAAACTGCTGTAAATGTAGATAGTTGAATGTAATAAATGAGAAATTGGAGGAGTATGATCGTGCGTACGCAGCATTAGCTATACTGAAAATTCGACTTATAACTTTCCTTCTTATCCAGCTTAATTGTTTCGGATTATATGTATACTTCGATATCTGGAGGATTACTTAAATTGTCATTATATTAAAAAAGAGTTCTATATGTAATTATTGAAGGTTAAACTAGAAGTATGCAAAGTTTAATTTAATGTTCAAATTATCTAATTGCATAGACTTGTCTCTTTAATTGTAACTAATTACGTCTGTTGAGAAGACTAATCTTGATTTCTAGACCAAATTAAATATTTAGAGAGCTGATTGACAAATTTCCGAATCTAGTATATATGTTCTGGGAATGTTTGTCGAAGCAGTGAGTGTTAGCTTTGTCCAGGAATTTGTTGCAAACATGCGCGAGGTCTCGGTTTTTGGAATCTTTGCAACCTGCTGGTGAACGAGTGTTCTTGCATGAGCCATTATTATAAGCAAAACAGATGGGAATACCATTGTAAAGTACTACCTTGGATCTGTTGGAGAACGAGGAGCTAGAGCTGTTGGATGAACTGGGTGGAGCGCTGGAGCTGTAGTTCGGCCTAGTTTGTTGGAATTTTACCTTCTGTTGGTCGTTGCTGAAATTTCTACCCGCTGGTACAGAGTTGTTGAGTCCTGCAGAAGTTAGTACTGACTTGATACAGTCCTCCTGTTCCGCGAAGCTCATGATCAGTTCTTTCCTGCTAGCCCTGGCTGCGTTTTCACATAGAACAGCATTGAAGAAAGTTGAGACCAGATTGACTCTCTCTGATAATGAATGAGCTGCAGAGAAAAAATTGTACTTATTTATGATCCTCATGAGTATTATTCCTGTAGGGTCGTAGGGCCAGAGGAACTGGAGAGCAGAACAATAATTGTGTAGTGCATCTGTGACCTGGCTTAAGGAAGTTGGAGCCTCCCAATTGAAATCTAGGGTTGAATGTACCTGGTCTTCTTCTCTTTTCTCCACTCTATTTATAGGTTTAGAAGACACATTAACATTTCCCGTGTGGAACATCTTGAAGGTTAGGATTTCAGCTCGATCATGCATTAGTTGAATGGTCTTGGGGGAGATCTTGTTGTTTGCTCCAGAGAATTGAAGGGGGAGATTTTTGAAGATATGAGATCTAGATCTTGGAATCCTGCGCCACCATTTCTTCATGTCTCCCAGAGGGTATCTCAGAAACCTGGCATCATGTAGGTGTTTAAAGCAGTCATCTTTGCCTACTTTGAATTTAGTGGATCTTGGTTTTTTATCCTTAGAATATGAAGAAGAGAAATCATTTTTGATCGATTTAGAATTATCCTTATCTAGTCTTGCTAGGGAGATCAGGTGATCAAGGTTCATTCTGTTGAAGGAATCTTTGTGTTGTAAAGCTGCCGGGCGTTTTTCTAAGGGCCAGATTGTCCTCATCATGAACCAGTTGGAGTCGTCATCAGAGTCATCAGAACTGGAGGAGTTAGAGCTAGAGCTAGAGCTACTAGAGGAAGATGAGGCTTTCTTCTTCTTACTCTTTTTTTTCTTATCTTTCTTCTTTCGTTTCTTTTGGTGGTTCAAGGTTGTTCTAGGGTGGAGGATAGGCTCTGGTTCTCCGATATCAGAATCTGATAAAATAGGGTTTTAGTGGTAAATAGGTAATTATTGACTAGATCGAATTAATGATAAAAGGAAACTTGATGCAATATGTAGGTGAAATACCTAGATCTGTAGGGATCTCTGTTGTAACTAGTCTGGTTGAACTAAATCCTCCAGGGTTAGATGGTAAAACTTCGGATCGTGGTAGATCTCTGGTATTTCGATCTAATAATAGTAAATTAACAGTTAGTAGTTACTAGTGTTAATTGAAATTAGTTAAGATTAAATTTTTGGAGAACATTAAATGTAAAGTGTTATCTTTTCATCAACAGAATATTTCCTATTGTATGGAAGTTTAGTATTAGTCTAAATTATCAGATAAGCCTATTTAAATAAATAAAAATAAAATTTTTATAAGCTACCTATTCTGGTGTGAGTAGCTCTTGTAGCGGTAGAGGTTTGAATAGGGGGAGCAAATCTGGTTCTTGTAAGTGAAGGATCTCCGTGGTTTTGATCTGATAAAGATTAGAGTATTAATATATATAGTGAGATAAGTATAATTGAGCTTTATATATATAGCTAAGTGAGTGTGCGTTATAAAAATATAAATATAATACTACAACTATTTCAGCTATAGTAACAGCAAATTAAGGGTTCGATAAAGTCAAGTTTTCACATTTATAATTAAAATGCAATTTAAATGTTGATAAATAAACAAAAACCTGTAAGATCGAAGGTTCCAGTTGTAGTTTGTCCAACTTGATTGCTTCTGGAAGCGTTGGAGATCTGAGATCTAGTTTGAGCATCAGGTGGGTTGTGAGGACCAAGAGCTGTAAAGTTCTGCAATTGGGTAGGAGCGTTGATTCCAAATGAGGGTCCTGCTGAAGTGGTTTGGTGTGTAGAGTTACCAGTGTTCCCAGCCATAGAAAAGGTTCTAATTGAGGATCCTGTTATAGGGTTCTGGTAAATGGAGCTGTCCGGGTTCCTGGTTGTAATGTTTCTGTTGAACTGTTCAAGTTCTGAGTGAACTAGAGCTAGGGTGCTAATCGGGTTAATACCAGTAGTAGATAGATCATCAGAGCTTTCTCCGCTCTGTGGTTGACTAAAATAACATAAGGTTAGCTCCCAAGGGATTGTCTTAACAGAGATAATAAACATGGTAAAGGTCATATGGAGGTTAGAATTAGAAACTTAATTTGTTAGGAGATAGCGAAAAGAGATAGAGGATTAAAAGTTCATGTTTCCCATGGCCTGTGCCATGGCCATTCTCTTGGTTCTCGGGAGTTTCGTGTAGAGTAAGAATGCTCTGCTGGACCAGCGTCCGATGGATTGAAGATCTGAGTCTTGGAAACCTGCTGCTCCAAGTATGGAGACTAATCCTGCTCTGAAGGAGTGTCCAGAAATTACTCCCATGGATGGGTCTATGTGAGTGGAGAGCCAGGAAGACAATTTCTTGTTTAGTAGATCTTTGGTGATAAGTAGTCCGGAGGAGAGTTGGAAAGCTGGAGTGGTTGGGAGTAGGTTAGTAGATTTTTCCCAATTGAGATATGCTTTTACAGGACAGATTTTGTTGTTGGTTGGGTGGATGTCAATCAGTGTGTTGTCGGTCGAGTTAGTTTTTGAGGATTTAAGGCGGATTTCTAGGAAGTGGTAATGTTTGTTGTTGATGTTGGTTGAGTTTAGAATTATGTCTTTTTGGAGTAGGGTAAAATTAGGGTCAAATGTTCTTGTTGAGTAAAAAATATATTTGTGAAAAAAAATGAATTTTTTAGCCGATGATACTCCTTGGGGCACCCATGGGTTCCTTCGAAAATTTCAGCCCATTCGGTCCAGCCGTTTGGCCAGCTATAGCTAACGTATAAATATACAAATCTATATATATGAGCGAAAAGAATTATTATTTAGATAGATATATATATCTAGGTAGGTGAGATCTTCAAGGTACCTAGTGGATGGAGAAGTGTAATGGTGGACGGATACGTAGATCCTAGCGGAGGGAATAGGTCTGTTCATTCATTCATTCATCCTTTCATTCATTCATCCTTTCATTCATTCATTCATTTATTCTTTCATCCTTTCATTCGTTAGTTTTATTTTTATTGAATTCATTTTACTTTTAAGTTGAAATTAATATTTCAAAAATCAGCAAACGAATTTTTTTTATTTTCTACCAGCAGATTCTTACTTGTTCTTTTTATCAATGTTTTTCTGAAGGTTTTGTTTGGGCGCACTGAGTAACGTGCATAGGACAGAAGCGAGTGAGAAAGCGCGCCTACATATTGGGAAAGGAATTCAACTTGATTTGGTGAGAAGCTATTTTAATTATAAAAATTCATTTTTGTGGCGTAAAAATAAGCGGAAGGGGGGGGGGATAAAAATCGAACATGAACTGACAAGCTTTTCACCCTCCAAAATAGTGAAACCTTAAACTTAATTTATTTCCCAGAATTCAGTGGGATAAAACTAAACTTTTTGTACAAACTTTGATAACTTAATTAAGGAGAAAATGATTTTTTTGGGGGGGGGGAATATTTTTCAATTAAATATTCATAAAAAAAAATATCCGTTGTTAAAAGTAAATATGGTTTTTGATAAGAAAAAAAGTTTCAAATCAGAAATGTATAACATCAAGTCCATTAATTCAGATGTGAAAATTTTCGAATGTTTTCTTACTTCAATAAAACAATACAATACTTTTTTACTTTATTATTTTGTATTTTCTTTCGATTCTAAACTCTAAACCGTTGACTAGCTCAATAGAAATAAATAGATTCTGTTAGATTCTGACTTAATCAGGTTTACACGATTTTATTGATCAAGATTTGCTTTTGAATTGATTTGATTTGATTCGATTTGATTCGATTCGATTCGATTCGATTCGATTCGATTCGATTCGATTCGATTCGATTCGATTCGATTTGATTTGATTCGATTCGATTTGATTTGATTTAAAAATCTACCTAATATTTCCAATCGACGGACACCAATTCGTGGTTTGTCGCACAAAAAATCTGCAATATTTTCAGTTTAATGAGACATTTAATTTACTTTTATTTCCATATTTTGCGTAGAACCCTTGTATTAGAATTTTTTGTCCTATTTTGTATAACGGATAAACTTCAAACTTCATCAATTGTTGTTATGGACCTTTTATTGGTTTCAATCGATCGGAAATAGGAGTTAGATTTAGAGATCACAATTCATAGTTTGATAGAAATGAATAGACAACACTTGATGTCGTCTTTTCAAAATTCAGGGGTTTTTAGCCAACAATAATCCTAAAGCAGAAGCCTAAAGGAGTTGTGCGCATGCTACGTTGAATTACAAGACAGAGAGAGAGTCTGTTCTACTCGTCATGCGCTTAACTCCTTTGGGATTCTACCTCAGGGTTATTTTGAACGAAAAACCTATATCTTGAAAAGACGACATCTAGTATTCTATCTGTGTTGCTTTTAATTTATGGCACAAGTATATAATTCAAAATATGATGAACCATCCAAAAGAACGTGTTTTAAGACATAATATAATGTAATATAATGATAAATGTTCATTTAAGTGCAATTTACGAAAACTGAAAAACTTGCATGATAATAAATAAGAATTCCAAAAAGTGTAAAAAAAATAGGGATATTTAAAAATGAATATTTTTCCAAGGTTGGTGAAGGTGATGTGTGGATAAGATGCCACAGCGATCATTCTGTGTTTGTGCAATCCTATTACTTAGATCGGTAAGCAATCGTTTAAGATGTTTTTTAAATGAACTTTAATTCATGAATCAATATTTGATAGTTATTATTATCCTTTGATTCAGCAGTACATTTTTCTTTTATGTTCATTGTTTACTGTACAGGGAGGCAGGCCGGGCCCCGGGAGATGCTGTACACAAGATATATCCACTTGCTCACACTAAGGAACATAAATAGTTGTACAATTTGATGTTGATGATGATCCAACCTCACAGAGTTCATAAAGTAGGTGTTTATTTTTCGGTCTGGTTTTGTCCCTTTAGTTCTACAGATTTGTTTCTGTCATGAAGATTCAAATCAAATAGTTGTACGATTACATCTTTAGAATACCATATGTGTTTAATCAAAATATTGACAGTTTTTTAGCGGTTTCTAAAATATTGTTTGGTGTATTTTGTTCAGAACGATGGTTTTAATAAACCACTGCTTCCACGCTGGAAAACCCACATTTGTCCTCTCGTCTTCATAACCAAAAAATCTCCCCATCCCTAGAAGCTGCCGACGTCTGCAGAAAGTTTCATATTGCTTGGCATTAAAAGTTGCAAGCTTTAAGTGGATTAGGATTTCATTTCTTTTCAAAAATTTAAATCCTTCATGCGGAGAAGAAATGTACAAAAGAATTTAACTATTTCCGTTAGGTTTAAATTGTTTTATTTCTTTTCTCTGAATTAAAATTTTATAATACTATTTTTCCTGATTCACTTAACTTTAACGTGTCAGTTTCGCTTGAAATTAACTCTGCCCTATCTTTTCTGAGAATATGGAAGTTAAGAGGGAAAGCCTGTCACTGTGCTCTAAATCGACCCAAAAGGTTGACCTTGTGTGACTTAAAAATTTTCTTTACGATAACTTCTATAATGGTTTAGGGGGTCAGAATCCGATCTCACACAAATCTGAACACACTTGGTGGTCCCAAAAATGCATGCTCGAAATAAAAAATGGCCAAAAGTATGCAAATTATTGATTTGATCAAAAAATCTTGTTTCTCCAACCCCCCAAAATATTCTATGAATAACTGGGGTCATCGATACTAAATTTTACAATAAGTCGAATAAAATTCAAGGTATCGGCAATTTTTATTAATTTATATGATAATTAAAATATCAATTGAGAACATACATGAGGAATTATTAATAAAAATCGATGTGAGAGTAAAAATTAAATTGATAAGTTATTCAAATATTTCAAATAAACTAAAATTAAAAATACAATTTTTAAAAAATTATCAAAAGAAGTTAGAAAGAAAATTATATAAATTGAAGATTTGCACTTTGAACCAAATATCTGCAGAAAGCGTATGAAAAAAATGTGTTAAAGAAAGGAACATGAGATTAAAAGGATGAAAATAGAATAAACAAAAGATTATGAACAAGACAAACACAGTGAAATGGAAAACATTAGAATGAAATAGTTAAAATGAGAAAAAGGAAAAAGAGATAAAAACAACCAAATAAAAGGAAAAAATTAAAGACATAAAAGAAGTGGATTTAAAAATGATGAATGATTAAAGAAAATGAGAACTGAGGTAAACGATGAGTAAAAATTTTTGATAATATAGATTACATCATGAGCAACTCGACGCAGCACTCTTCCGAACTGTGAGGCCCGGAGCCGTTATTTGCAATAGTCAATATATAATCTTCCTCTTCCTCCTTTATATTTCATTAAAGTTGGTTATTAATTTCATATTTTGGCTTTAAAACTATCTATTTTCCGCTAATTCACGTTTTGCTAAAATAAAAATTCAGATTACGGACGAAACCTTTATATTTGTCAATAACTCTTTTGATATAAGACTTATACAAAGACTAAATTTTATGCCCCTTTATATTTTCAGCATGTTTTGGGGGGTCATTAAAAGTAAATGTTTTTGATTCAACACATTTTTAACATGATTTTGGTCATTTTAAATTTTTGGCCATTTTCGGGTACCCCATGTGTGTTAAAATTTATGTAAAATCGGATTCTGACCCTCTAAAACATTATAGGAATCATTGCAAAGAAATTTTTTTAGTCACACAAGGTCGACCTTTTGGGTCGATTTGGAGCTCAGTGCAGTTAATGTTGATTTTTTTTTTGCAGTGTTCTAGTGGGTACCCCATGTGTGTTAAAATTTATGTAAAATCGGATTCTGACCCCTTAAATCATTATTAATGTAGAAGTGGAAGAAATTTTTTAAGTCACACAAGGTCGACCTTTTGGGTCGATTTGGAGCTCAGTGCAGTTAATGTTGATTTTTTTTTTGGGGGGGGGGGGGGGTAATTATTTTTCCAGTGTTCTAGTAGCAATTGATTGTTTGAGCATGATCATGACCACAACTATGACCTGTTAAATCAGGTGTTTGACCTACGTCAATGTTACCGCCAAATGCAGCAGCAAGCGGCAACCGCCCAGGCTGCTGCCGCCGCCCAAGCTGCCGCGGTGGCGGGCCGGTTACCGGACGGTGGGATCGGTGGTATTGCGCCGGCGATTTCTCTGAGCGCTGCGGCTGGAATCGGTGTTGATGACTTAAGAAGACCCTGCATTTTAAGGTGAGGAAAAATTTAAATAAATTGTATTTATATTATATATAAAACTTTATTTAAAATTTGACAACATCATATATATGACTGAAGGAAATCTTAAAACGATTATGAAAAATTATCTCTTATTGTATGAGTATAACTTTCTGTATATATATATATTTAAAAAATCAGTTTATTTTGAATTAGCATTTTCTCATATTCCAATTCGGATCCGAGGAGTCAAATCTGTCCAAATTTCTAAATTTTTAACTTAATTTGAGAATTATTTGAAAATTTAGACTCTCTTAATTTAACGGAAATAAAGTCTTGGATATGTTGAAAATCTACTAAATTAATATAAGTAGGATTATTTTTGGACCAAATATTTAATTTTTCTGTTGGATTTTAGGATGTCATTTGTGAAGGGCTGGGGTCCAGATTATAACAGGAAATCTATAAAAGAAACCCCTTGTTGGGTAGAGGTAAGATTACGTCTCATGTTAGGGATCTATACTAAGGTTTTATCGTTATAGCTAATATTTACAACGGGGGGGGGGGCGGAGGCTACATTTTCTTAGGCTTTGTAGCTAAATCTTACTACCACTTACTTGTCTTTGATCTAATATCGTTTTGTAAATTTGAGCATTTGTTTGCAGAAACGTAAGTAGGTCTTATTCATAATTGAACGCCATAGATTTATTTACTTAATAAGTCGAAATAATTGGCCCCTATTTATAAAGTGGATATTTTTCAATTTTAAATTGACAGATGTTCCCAACTGTAAGAATTTGATTCAAATGATTTATTTGAACTACGTGGAAAACCATCTGCAGATCTGCAATAATTTCATAAAGAAAATAACATTTATTGGGAATGATTTTTGATCTGAACTAAGTCCTATTAGGAAAACTAATCGGTTTAGAATAAGACAAGATTCAATGGTCTCGTGAAGGTACGATACATGGACACGTTATTGAACACGTGTTATGTTGTTTTCTATGTGTTAAACTTCGTGAAAAATCGTTAATATTTTTAAACACGGTTTTGCGTTCATGTATACTTCAGTGAACACTTTTGTTTTCACAATGTATGTTAGCTACACGCTTGTGTGTTATGTATACATGTATTTGTTCATTTACACCCAGTTAGATATGTGTTAATGTTCATTTACACGTTGCTAAACACGTTTTTGTTCAATCAAGCGGCAATGATTACGTGTCAATGTTCGTTTACACGTAGGTGGCCATGTGCACTAACACGTTGGTCACAATTTAGTTAAATACTAAGAACTAGATTTAATGTCAATTCTTAGGCTTAAATTTCCTAATTTCAATCCAATTCAAAATTTCTAATTTTCATTTAAAGTTAAAAATAAAATTGATGATATTGTTGAAGGATAAAATGACGACAAATTTAATATTGTAAATGGTACGTTGTTTTTGACAAATAATTACATTTTTTCCTCTCTTCATCCTTAAATATTTAAATTTCTTTTTCTGGAAATTTTGGATTTATGTAACAATGAGCGTTTTCTGGTTATTATAAAAGCACCTTTTTAAAAAACGAAATCCGATGTCATCAGTAGCTTATTCCCACTGAAAAGTTGAGATGTACAGTGTACTGTGTACTGTGTTCAGTACACGTGGTCCAATATACTTGGTACAGTGTACTTGGTATAGTATACTTGGTATAGTATACCTTGTACAGTATACTTGGTAAGTATACTTATCACAGTAAACTTGGTACAGTGTACTTGGTACTGTATGCTTTGTACAGTATACTTGGTACAGTGTACTTGGTACTGTGTACTTGGTACAGTATACTTGGTACAGTATACTTGGTACAGTATACTTGGTATAGTATACTTGGTACAGTATACTTGGTACAGTGTACTTGGTACAGTAAGCGTACTGGAAAAATGTTAGTGCAACGTTAGCCAATACACTAAAAATAGGAGGAACGATTTAGAAAAAAAGAAACAACTTTATTATTTCTAAATTTCATTGATTTGACCATTGAATTCCCTTGGTTGCACGTCCAAACAAAATTGCTTGTCTAGTCCCTTTTTATAATTTGTTAACATTTTTCAGGTTCATCTCCATAGAGCTCTACAGATCCTTGACGAGGTTCTTCAATCCATGCCAGTGGGTGGACCCCGAGTTCGGCATCCAGAATAACATCAGGCACATTCCCGTCGATCTACGCCATGAGTGGTTTGCGCACAGTGTTATAAACACTCCGATCGTTAATTGATGATCGAGCTGTCCATCATATTTAATCGATATTGATTGAACTGCATTTCACTTGTTTTAGTGAAAAATAACGTCTATAAAACGTGATAAATTTGATTTTCAACAATCGATGAGATTTAAAACTAGTTTCCCTATTCTGTTTATAGACTCTAAACTTGCCCTTTTGCTTGTTTTTAAACTATTGATGAGATGACCCATTGCTATAGTTTGTTTCGACTCGGGCATTTATACATTTTTACGCGACTTATTGAATATATTTATACATGTATTTAGAAGCAATCAAATAAACGTTGGCTAGTATAGTCACCTTTTTATTCTGAAATATTCGTTTTTTAAGTATTGTTAATTGAAAAACTTTGTTTTTGTAAATATTTTTGCAAATGTAATAGACATAAAGTTACTCCTATTGCCTAGAACTAAGGTTTTATGTTTTTGTATTTGATATTTTTCTTTCACATTTCTCCAAATCCAACAAGATCAGCATTTCTGAGCTATATTGAAAAATTTCTATAAATTTACATTGTTAAGATGTGAGGAAAATTTACATTCTATATAATCGATATTTTAATTGGAAAAAGCAATTTTCTAAAATTGTTGTTTCAAAAATAAGAAACCAAACTATACTCTTGCCCCTATTGACTCGTGTTTTAAAAGATGTCTAACCCCGACTTTGTTTATGTTCAAGATAGTCTTAAATGTCGATGTCGATGACCACAATTGACCCAAGCTTGTCTAGAGATGTCTATGACCTGTTTCAGAGATGGAGAAACGTCCAGCTGAGGACGAAGAAAATGGCGAAGGTGAAAATGGCGCGAAGAAAGCTAAGTTGGATCCGGAATGCGGGAGACTGCTCTTCTGTGGCAGCACAAACTGGGAATATGTGAGTAGATTTTATACAATTTTTCTGACATCTTCGAAAAATATTTCAATTTAATTAAACACGGATTATTTAGTTCAATTATTCCCCCTTGATCCCCCCCCCCCCTGAAATGTAGATAAGGTTGAATACCCGGAATTGTTGTCTGATTAGATGATTAGATGGTTCCTGTACAGTCTGCCGACACATCAGTTTTATAACAAGCATAGTTCCCAGGGGTGGGGGGGGGGTCTGTATTTCAGTATATTTAAAACGGGGTTTGCCTAATTACTCTTGTTCATATATTACTTGGCTTTCAGGGGTCGAAGCTTCGCACTTAGCGCCCCACTTTCTTTATATTCACGTTTTTTCTCAAATTTTGTAAGAAAGTAAAATTCGTGGATTTGCTGCTTTTTGTAACATTTTTTACGGGCAATAGCTTTCTCGGTTCAGCCGGTTTTGTTTATTGTACACAAACAGACACGCCATCAGAGAAAAACGAACTCAAAGTA